AATTGTATTTGTATGTATTATCCATTGGTGTAGGGTTCAAATAACTTGGTAATTGTATTTGTCAGTACTCGGTACTTGGTACTCGGTGATCGGTGGTCAGTGGTCAGTACTCGAGACTCGGTAGTCAATATAGGCAAATGATAATGAAAAATGACAGTTGTAGTCCACGTCAAGGTGAGTGTCTTGGTAGTCTTTCCTTGTCATTCGGCAAAACATCAGCAATAATGAAAAAATGAAAGTTGTTATTATGCTTAACTTCCTTACCGAAGGTTGTAGTCCAAGTCCAGGTGAGTGTAGTGGTAGTCTTTTCTTGTCAATTGGTTATCTTGTTACTCATTATGCAGTACTCGGTACATGGTAATTGGTACTCAGTATTTGGTTTTGATACTCTGTACCCGGGAATCAGTAGTCAGCTTAATGAAGGTTGTAGTCCGAGTCTAGGTGAGTTTATTTGTAGTCTTTTCTCATCCATTGGTTACCATGTGACCGAGATATAAGCTAAAGAAATCCGAAACATCAATAATGACAAATGAAATACATGTGTGCAGTAAGTGAGTGTAAAGATAAAAGAATGAATATTAATAGCAAGACTTGCACATTATGTCGAGATATCCAACATAACAAGCCTGTGATGTGATGAGAGACCTGGAATAACACCCATATACATCCATTATAATAGCTCAAAAGCCTAGAAAGATTCATGAAGGATTGATGTAATGATAGGCAAAATGACATATGTGTGGAGAGTGACAATAGACATCTTTTATACAAAGTCACATTTATATATGATTCAGGCCGAAAATATCATTACAAATATGTAGGATAGATCGTAAACTACCCAAGGAACCCATACTGCCTACTGCCCTGAGGGTAGGGGGTGGGTAGAAGGGATATAGTGAAAATATGAGTTGACCCAGCATTAAAGTCCGAGTACTGATTCCCTTGTACCAAGTACCAAGTAACGAGATAACCAATTGACAAGAAAAAACTACCAATACACTCACCTTGGCTCGGACTACAACTTTTGTTCAGGAACTTAAACATAATAATAACTTTCATTTTTCATTATCGCCGATGTTTCAGATTTCTTTAGCTTATATCTCGGTTAAATGATAACTGATGGACAAGAAAAGACTACCAATACACTCCCCTAGACTCAGACTACAACCTTTGGTAAGGAAGTTAAGTGTAATAACAACTTTCATTTTTCATTATCATTTGCCTATATTGACTACCAACCACCAACTACCAACTACCAACTACCAACTACCGAGCACTGACAAATACAATTCCCAAGTTATTTCAACCCTACACCAATGGATAATACATACAAAGACAGAATTCATGTCCATTTGAAGTACCACGTTTCGGGTTTCGGCACTCAACACTTGGTGATTTGTGCAATGAGTAGATGGGCATGTGGCATACATGTTTTCGGGCTTCGGATTTCAGTATTCGGCCCTTGGCACTCAATGATCTGTGTAATGTAAATGAACAATGAACATGTTGCACACTGGGTTTCGAGTTTCGGCACTTGAAACTCGGTGATTTGTGCAACAAGTGAAAAATGGAAATGTTGCATACATATTTTCGGCCCTCGGCCCTCGGAACTCAATGAATTGTGTAATGTACATAAAAAATGGACATGTTGCACACTGGGTTTCAAGTTTCATGCTTTGGCACTCGAAACTCGGTGATTTGTGCAGTAAGTGAAAAATGGACATGTTGTGTACATATTTTCGGGTCTCGGGCTTCGGGTTTTGGCCCTTGGCACTCGGAACTCGATGATCTGTGTAATGTAAATGAACAATGAACATGTTGCACACCAGGTTTCGAGTTTCAGGTTTCGGCACTTGAAACTCAGTGATTTGTGCAACAAGTGAAAAATGGAAATGTTATATACATATTTTCGGGTCTCAGGCTTCGGGCTTCGGCACTTGGCACTTGGCACTTGGTTATTTGTGTGATATAAATGAAAAATCAACATGTTGCACACTGGGTTTCAAGTTTCACGCTTTGGCACTTGAAACTTGGTGATTTGTGCAGTGAGTGAAAAATGGACATGTTGTGTAAATATTTTCGGGTCTCGGGCTTCAGGTCTCAGCACTTGGCACTCGGAACTCAATGATTTGTGTGATATAAATGAAAAATCAACATGTTGCACACTGGGTTTCAAGTTTCACGCTTTGGCAGAACTCAAAGCTGTTGTGATTTAGATATCACCCGAAACCTGATGTAGGACTTATAGTCCTTGTAGCCTCGTAGAGGCTATTTTTGCAGTATCCCTCAGGTCCTACTGCAGCACGCGCTATCACTACCATGGCGCGCATCCTTCCTATCATTGGCCGACGGCCGTGGCTCATGCGCGCGCTTCGGTTCACATCCGCTTTTCGTCGGTTCCATCGTGCGTCCTTCCTCCGTCCTATCCATGTCCTCCGCTTGTCCATTGGTGCGTATTTTATCTCATTCACGTTAGACTGATTATATTCCCGAAGGTGATATCGCGTATATCTTGTTACTTGCATTATAGACCCTTAATACGTATTACCGTTATCTTCTCGGCTCCGAACAGCGCTACGCACGCTATCATATATACCTTAGACTTATGATTTTTCATGTATCTTCTTTTCCCGCTATCAAAATTATCATCCGTTTGCACACATCTCTCAGACTCTAAGTCAGAAACCTTCGGCTGACTACATCGTGCGCTGTATTAACGGTCGCGCTATCGCCCACACATCGCTCATCGCATCCATAGTCAGAACTCTCTTCCCTCACAATCGTCGCTTTGCATCTCCTTTGCATATTCATTAGTCATGCGTTCATATAAACCGTCGGCTTTTCTTCGCATCTCCGTGCCCCGTCAACTTTCGGCTGTTCCGTTGCACATCGTATCACGCCTTCGGCGGCTCGCTCACGCTCGCATCACTTCAAGCGCAATGTCACGCACTCTTCCATTCTCACTTACTCTTACCAGTTCAAAAGTTTCCCCTCCATATTTTTACTTAGAGGAATCATTCTCAGTAGCAATCCCCTTGGGCCGAATCTATACTCGCGTCCAGAGGTCTATTTGAGTTTTACCCCACTTCACCCTTTCTCCCCCTTTCACCCCTTCTCATCTAGCTATCATTCCTCACACACACCAAAACACCCGAATGTCAAATTTTCAGTGCTGAACCCTGAGTGCCGGGTGCCGGGTGCCAAGTCCCGAAACCCGGAACTCAGGATTTGACATTTGAGATGAATGAAATTTTTCAGACATGTTTGAATTAACCTATGTATATCTATAAACATTTCACTAACCCCTGAACCCCGAAAGATATTTTTGTTGTCTTACATACCGAGTTCCGAGTTCCGAGACCCCCAAACCCTGAAACCCAGCAGTCCACAATTTCAGGGTTCGGGGGTTGGTAAAATGTGTATGGATATATGAAAGGTTGATTTAAACCTTTTTGAAAGATGTCTCATATCAAATGTCAAGTCCTGAGTTTTGATTTCCAGGTTTTGGGACTCCAGGTTTCAGGACTCCAGGCTTTGGGACTCGGCACTCCCGAAACCCGGAAATCGAAACTTGGGACTTGACATTTGATATGAGACATCTTTTAAAAATGTTTAAATCAACCCTTCATATATCCATACACATTTTACCAAGCCCCGAACCCCGAAATTGTGGACTGCCGGGTTTCAGGGTTCGGGGGTCCCGGAACTCGGAACTCGGTATGTGAGACAACAAAAATATATTTCAAAATGGGTAAGTCAATGTGTTTGTCAATCAACTCAGTTGTAAATCAAATTTTATTGATCTCCCCAAATTTCCCAAGTCCCGAGTGCCCACCCCCGACCCCCAAGACCCGGCAGTCCACAATTTCAGGGTTCGGGGCTTGGTAAATCTCGGTTTGGGGTTTTTCCACTTCAGTCCTCAATTATTGGTCAATGCCACACATGGTCGATTCATGTTTTCGTGCTTAGGGGTTTAGATTTGGTGGTCGATGGTAGGTATATGCACTCATAGTGTACATGTTTGATTTGCTGGTGGCTACATCAGCTGTATGTCTTGATGAAACATATCTAGGCTCACCCATATATGTACCCATCTATGTACAATTCCCCCACGTCAGCCCACCCATCTATGTATTATCCCCCACATCGGCCCACCCGTCTATGTAATACATCCTATGTTGGCCCACCTGTCTATGTAATAAATATTTATCGCACCCTCGGCCCAACCATCTATTTGATATCTCTTTCATCGGCCCACCTGTATATGTAATACACCCCACATCAGCCCACCCAGCTATGTAATATTCCCCTACCCATTGGCCCACCCATATATAGTAATATACAAACAACCCCATCGGCCCCCGCCACGTCTATATACACAATATTTGGCCTTACAACATCTCTCATTCAGCCCATGCTGTCTAATAATATCCTACTCTACATATTACCCACCAGATGGGCCCACACATCTCCATGAATGATCATAGTCCCGCCCATCCGTCAACATCAAGGATATATATATCATTGGCATACATGGGCCCACCTGTCTCCATCAGAAATAATATGTTTCCCGGCCCATCTGTCATCATCGAGAATATACACACATGGGCCCATAATCTGCTGGCCTGTATAATACGGAATTTGTCACTGAAGGGGCTCCGCTGAAGGATCATTCAATCTGCTTGACTGAGCTATCCTCTCCCTGGCTAACCATTCTGTCTTCAAATGTGCCGGTGCTGCTTCATCGAGTCTGTCGAATGCCTTCCACTTTCCGAGATGCCATTCCTCGCCAGCTTGTATTTCCAGCATAGAGTCCTTTCATGCGAATCATCTTGCATGAAATTGGAGTCATTCATCTGATAATCAAGGCATTCCTTTTGGTGCGGAGATGACATTCCCTGAGCAGCAGGGGAAATCAGATTGAGCTGTGCCCATAGCGTCTCCATGATCTCTCCATCGATCCGACCAATGCCTGCAATAAAGTTAGATGCATATCGGACATAGCAGCTGTCCTGATGGCCATGAACGTGCCACAACCCAATTCCAGGAATGATGGTTAGTTGCGGTGCCATTTCTAGAAATCGACCTCGATCCACCCAAACCCGAAAGTGTTTGTTGTATTGACAGTTGATATCATAGAAGGTGACGGCCCTGGTGATGCCTTCCATGTTGTGCCGGGAAGCCTCACAAAGGGCGTAGTCCATGTTCATTTGTCTGCAAGTGACTCATGGTTAACTCGTGAATGTGGAATGGTGGATGTGGCTTGCCTTTCACCTTTCTGAAAATCCACCATAGAGTGAGGGACAAATCAACCGTGCTGGGCACAGGCAACTCCCCCAATACCGGTGGACTCCAGCTTGTGCTGAGCAGCATTAGCTTGATTTACTGCCCGGTGGTTGTTGCAGCTTGATTTTTCCACTGTGTCAGCAGCCTCTGCCAGATGCATTTTATACCTGTCCTTTCCTACCATGAATCCAAGCCCATCGCGACAGCCAAACTT